ACCTCCATATTAGTTGACGTCCTATCAGCACCATTGCGCATGCACGGATTGTGTGGTTGGCCTGTTAGTAATTTCGGTAGTGCCATGCGATTAATAGCGTTCTTCTGTTTTCATTCGAGCGCATGCATGTAAGTTTTTGCGTGCATGCACCAGAAAGAGCATGATCGAGCATTCGCGAGGTTTCGTTCGGACGCATGCATGGCCTTCCGTTCACACAGGCGAATAGCGGGATGACGTCATTCTTCCCATTTAAAGCACCAACATTAATTTCATCTGTAAAGGCAAGTCCTATTAGCTCTTCTATAATATTATTTAGCTTTATTTCTTTATATCAATTGCTTCATTTGATTACTTTGGCTGTCTTTTCTGGTAAGTAGATTTTAAAGACACAGTCACTTACATTTCTCTCTGTATTCTTTTATGAGCATACTAAAAGTTTTGTTTGGTATTGCTTGCCTTCATTCAGTCTTATTCAAAAAATGGAAAAAGAGGTTGATGGATTCTGATTCATCGGCTTCAGGTGGCTATAAGAGCCATAGGTGAGCCATAGGTGAGCCATTTTATTCTGTACAAAAGTTTTTGTACATTCTTTATCATCTGTAGTCTCTCAAGTATTAAAATAAAAGAGTTCATATTAGTAAGTGTCCTTCCCTATATGCCAGTTCTAAGGGAAAGAAGACTTCAGGATCATCAAAAGGAAAATCTCCAAGAAGGTCGCAGTGTGAAGTCAGTGACAAGAGAGCCTTAAAGGGTAAAGGCCTCTGCGCAGACTGTTTATCTACAGCAGCAGGTCCATCAAACCAAGCTCCAGACATTAGGCAGTTCATAAAGCAAGCGTTTTCCAAGGGCATCAAGGAGGCAAGTCATCTTCGAAAAAGACCCAGGTATCCAGACCCTCTTGAGTATTCAGAGGACGAATCTTCTGAGGAATCCATGGAGGTGGAATCATACATGGACAGATACTCTTCTTCAGAGGAAGAGATACAACCTACTCCAGAATCTCTAGATCCAGCTCAAGTGGACCATCTGATTTCTAGAGTCCGTAAGTCTTCGAGTCTTAAAGACACTTCTAAAGAGGAACCCTCCACGTCTAACAGATACTTCTCTGACTTAAGGAGGAAAAGAGATACCTTTTAAGTCCATGATACTATTAAATCCCTGATTGTGGAAGAATGGTCTAAAGGAGACAAAAGGTTCCCGGCACAAGGGAGAATATTACGCCTTTATCCATTCAGTAAAGCAGACTCTGGATATTGGGATACAGCTCCTAAAGTGGACACAGTTGTGATGAGGTTAGCAAAACCAGTGGTTAATGCAGGTTACCTAATATATCCCATGGACAAAAGGATGGACTCTTGCCTGTCAAAAGCCTATGTGACGGCATGGGCTTCCATCCAGCAGGAGACCTAACATCAGTCTCTAGGGCTTTAAAGATTTGTATTGAGAACCTAGAGGAAGTCATTAGAGATGGCAGGAGCCATTCATCTCCTATGGACAGTCTACAGGACATTAAATTGGCAATAGACTTTACTACTGAGGCTTCAGTGGATATAGTTAAAGCTACAGCCAGAAATATGGCTTTATCCATGTCAGCCAGAAGGGCTCAATGGCTTAGATTTTGGTCTGCAGATTCCTCCTCCAAAAACAGTCTGCGTTCTCTTCCCTTTTATGGAGACATGCTTTTTGGAAAGAATTTAGATTACTGCATTAAAAGAGCTGCAGAAGGCACAAGAGCATTTCTTCCTCAAGACCGTAAGCCAAGAAAACCTTTCAAGGGTAAAAGGTCTTATGATTCTTCCGTTCGAGACAATAGATCCTTTAGACCAGGAAAAGAATACGGTAGATGTCAGCCATGGAGAAGCGGTCAGTCTTCTATCAAAGAAAATCAAGAGGAATTTCTTGTAAGGGTTCCAGAACATTATGGGGTTTTCTCCCAGTCTGGAAGTGTAGGATTGGGAAAAATCCACAAAGGACAAGAGGATACTTTTTGGAATTCCACGAAAAAGGTCCACATCGCAGTTTTCAAAAGACAAAGTGGTCAGAAGACCCATAGAAAAAGAAAGCCTTAATGCATTTCATCTCATCCCTACAAGACGAAGGAGTCATTGTAAAAGTCCCACTTTTAGAAAAAAGACATGGATATTACTCCTATCTGTTTCTTACAAAAAAGGCATCAGGAGGTTGGAGGCCCATCCTGGATTTGCACAGGCTCAATGGATTCCTAAACACCAGGAGGTTCAAAATGGAATCTCTTCAATCCATAATCAAGGCAGTTTTTCCTAGACAGATGTCCATAGACTTACAGGATGCATATTTCCACATACCTATTACTCTGCAACACCAAAGAATTCTAAGATTTGCAATACAAAGAGGACATTTCCAATTCAGAGCACTTTCTTTTGTAATAAGTACCGCACCTCGAACCTTTTCCATACTCCTAGTAGTGTTGATTAGAGTTGAGCAAACTCGGACTGTAAAGTTCGGGTTCGTACCGAACATTACGTTTTTTTGGACCCCGGACCCAAACACGGACATATCACTGTATGTTCGGGTTGGAGTTCGGTGTTCGGTGATTTAATGGTGCATTTTGAAAGGCTGCAGGGCAGCCAATCAACAAGTTTTTGACTCGTGTGCCCTTAGAAGCCATCACACCCATGCCTACTAATGGCATTGCTGTGATTGGCCAGTGCAGCATGTGACCCAGCCTCTATATATAAGCTGGAGTTGCATAGCACCGCTCGCACATGCGGTCTTATTAGTGTAGGGAGAGGATGCTGCCGCTGATAGGGACAGCTTAGGAAAGAATTCTGCAAACTAGTACATTAGTCGGGTGGGGTGCACGTCATATCTGAGAGTCAAATAGAAGCTTCAAATACCGCGGTTACATCGGAGTTTTAAAAAGTCAAATTTTTTGGGTGCTTAATAGTACATTAATGGCATAGTACATTAGTGGGGTGTACTTCATATCTGAGAGTCAAATAGAATTGTCAAATACTGCTGTCACATTGCAGTTTTAAAACTTAAAATGTCTTGGGTGCTAAACTGCTAAATAGTATTTTAGTGGGGTGCACTTCATATCTGAGAGTCAAATAGAAGCGTCTAATAGTGCGCTTACAGCGCAGTGGTAAACATTCTTATTTTCTGGGTGTTAATCTGCTAAATAGTACATTTTGTGGCATGCTTTTCATATCTGAGAGTCAAATAGAAGCGTCTAATAGTGTGCTTACAGTGCAGTGGCAAATATTCTAATTTTCTGGGTGCTAATCTGCTAAATAGTACATTTTAGGGGGTGCACTTCATATCTGAGAATCAAATAGAAGCGTCTTATAGTGTGCTTACAGCGCAGTTGTAAAAATTCGAATTTTCTGGGTGCTAATCTGCTAAATAGCACATTTGCGGCCTGCGGTGCACTTCATATCTGAGAGTCAAATCGAAGCGTCTAATAGTGTGATTACAGCGCAGTAGTAAACATTCTTATTTTCTGGGTGTTAATCTGCTAAATAGTACATTTTGGGGCCTGCTCTTCATATCTGAGAGTCAAATAGAAGAGTCTAATAGTGTGCTTACAGCGCAGTGGAAAACATTCTTATATTCTGGGTGCTAATCTGCTGAATAGTAAATTTTGGGCGTGCTCTTCATATCTGAGAGTCAAATAGAAGCGTCTAATTCTGCGGTTATAGCGCAATTGTAAACATTCTAATTTTCTGGGTGCTAATCTGCTAAATAGTACATTTTGTGGCCTGCTCTTCATATCTGAGAGTCAAATCAAATTGTCTAATAGTGCGCTTACTGCGCAGTTGTAAAAATTCTAATTGTTTTGCTGCTAATCTGCTGCTTACATTGGAGTTTTAAAAAGTCAATTTTCTTAGAAAAAATTTTTTTGGTGCTAAATAGTATAGTTGTGGTGTTCACTTCATATCTGAGAGTCAAATCGAAGTGTAACTTTGATTCAAATTTACTACATCGGTCACGTGTAATATTGTTTCACACCTACAACACTTGTTACACAGATCTAAGTGATAGAAAACAGATTGATATTTTCTACACTAGAAACTACCAGATAACATGCTGCTATATTTAAACCAGTTATCAATAGATAAGAGGTACTTAAACAATATTGTAATTCTGGGGCAATACCCTCACAAGTTAAACTGAGAGGTCAGTTTATAGGGAAAACTGTTGCCTGCATACAATTCTAAAACAATTTCCATATGTACTTTACATGCTGTATAAACACAGGTGCCAACTGCTGTGGCTTTTTGCAGTGTGCATACTGGCAAGGAGGGCAGGGTTGAGGAGTGGGTGTAAGATGATGTGGAGGATGATGAGGTCCTAGACCCCACATGAAATCAAGGTCATGCGAGTGACATGTGCAGTTTGGAGGAAGAGGCGCTAGTCGCACAGAGGCACCAGCACAGCATAAGGGAGGGAGCAGGGTGCAAAAGCTGAGCGGCCGTCCCCTAGCGCTCGTCGGCATGTATTAGCTCGAGAATTACCAGTTATCCAAGTAATACATGTAGTGTTCAAAGGATCCATAATAGAGTTGAGCAAATCCGAACTGCAAAATTCAGGTTCGTACCAGATATAACAATCCATTCGTAGTTTCACAGTCAGGTGGACAGTCCGGTGACCAGGACCCAGACACTGTCTGGGCGGCGGTCGGACAACCGCGACCCAGTATGCCTGATGTTGAAGTTAGAGTCACAGTGTGGAATGGATTAGCAGGGTCTGGTGCAGGGTAACCGCATGCCCCCTGGTGTAGAGCACCAGCGTTTGTGCGGCCACATACCAGGACCCTGATGCAAATTCAGTAAAAAAGAGTACTGGATACCAGAAGCCATCACCAGACTGATCCGCAACTTGGAACAGGATGTGACATTCACTGTAGCGGCTGTGCGTGCTTTTGGCACCCTGCTGCTGCTCGCCAGTCGGCGCTGCAGCGTAACTTCGGCCTTCACCGCTCACCGCCTCATGAGACTGTGCGAGCAGCAGCAGGCGATAGTGGAGTTTCAGCTGCAGCACGCACGGGTCAGTGGCTGTGCACCAGACTTCCCTCCAATTGATCAGAGTTAAAGGATTTCAAGTGGACTCATTACAATTACAGGGCCTCTAAAGAGTCCTGTATTGTTATTTGTCGTCACTACCTTCCCGCGTCGGTAGTGGGTCATTTGTGCGCCTGCTGCCTTCCTTGCATGTGGCGGCCGTTTCTCAGGGTCCCTGTACGGAATGGAGGCCACCATTGTAGCTGCAGAAACTGGCATCGAAAATTAAAATGGATGACATCTGCATGCAAAGTCGCCGCCACAGGGATGTGCGATTGGCCCGAGATTCTCTAGAGTCAACAAAGGGCCTGCGCAACTATAATGTCAACAGCTACTCTGCGGAAGAGAGTTGTCTTTTTTTTTTTATATGTCCCAATATTTTGGGGGCTACACCAATTAAAATATATATATATATAAATATATATATATACAAAAATAATCAAAAGTCCTTGCACTCAAGCTCAATATTATTGATAGCAAATGGCTTTTACTTGCCGGGTGCCAGTCCTCTGGGGAAATTGATATTCACGTAAACAAAGCTTGGACTGCACTCACGGTCTTCCAGTGCAAAAAAACTCTTTTATTCCATCAAATCAGCAAATCGACGTTTCGGTCCGCACTGGGATCTTCCTCAGGACAAAGTGACAATTTTGCAATAAAACAAACTCATGGGTCACTTAGTATAAACTAATTAAACTGTACACATTAGCAGAGGCTTGTGAAGGCCTTTTCTCCATGCATCAGGACTGCAAGAAATGCACCGCAGGCCGCAAAATGTTTCTTTTTTTGTATGTCCCAATATTTTGGGGGCTACCCCAATAAAAAAAAAAATATATATATATATAAACAGTGTTGGCTACATCCTCCTCCACCGCCGCTTCCACCAACACCGCCACGGTCACCGCCTCCTCAACCTATGAGTCACGTAGTATAAACTATGTACACAATAGCAGAGGCTTGTGAAGGCCTTTTCTTCATGCATCAGGAGTTGAGCTCAGTTTGAATAATGAAAGAGAATACCCTGCACTCCAACCCTCTCTCAAATGGATAATTCTGGTGATCCTCCTGACAGCCATGCTTTAGATTTTGATTTATGTTCTTCCAAAGCTAAAATCAAAGATTCCATCTAGTGCTATTTTATGGCTCAGCTGTATTTTTTATTTTTTTATGTTATTTTAAGTGATTTCCCTATCCACATTTGTTTGCAGGGCACTTGTCCTACTCGTACCCCCATTTCACTTGCTTTTGCAGCTCTCTAGCTCTTTCTAGGAGATTTTTAGAGGCATTTTTGTGCCCAAAAGTTCGGGTCCCCATTGACTTCAATAGGGTTCGGGGTCAAGTTTGAGCCTGAACCCAGACTTTTTTTTCAAAGTTCGGCCGAACCCGCCGGACCCGAAGATCCAGGTGTCCGCTCAACTCTAGTGCTGATTGCAGAATAAAAAGAGCACTATACAGGGAGTGCAGAATTATTAGGCAAATGAGTATTTTGACCACATCATCCTCTTTATGCATGTTGTCTTACTCCAAGCTGTATAGGCTCAAAAGCCTACTACCATTTAAGCATATTAGGTGATGTGCATCTCTGTAATGAGAAGGGGTGTGGTCTAATGACATCAACACCCTATATCAGGTGTGCATAATTATTAGGCAACTTCCTTTCCTTTGGCAAAATGGGTCAAAAGAAGGACTTGACAGGCTCAGAAAAGTCAAAAATAGTGAGATATCTTGCAGAGGGATGCAGCACTCTTAAAATTGCAAAGCTTCTGAAGCGTGATCATCGAACAATCAAGCTTTCATTCAAAATAGTCAACAGGGTCGCAAGAAGCGTGTGGAAAAACCAAGGCGCAAAATAACTGCCCATGAACTGAGAAAAGTCAAGCGTGCAGCTGCCACGATGCCACTTGCCACCAGTTTGGCCATATTTCAGAGCTGCAACATCACTGGAGTGCCCAAAAGCACAAGGTGTGCAATACTCAGAGACATGGCCAAGGTAAGAAAGGCTGAAAGACGACCACCACTGAACAAGACACACAAGCTGAAACGTCAAGACTGGGCCAAGAAATATCTCAAGACTGATTTTTCTAAGGTTTTATGGACTGATGAAATGAGAGTGAGTCTTGATGGGCCAGATGGATGGGCCCGTGGCTGGATTGGTAAAGGGCAGAGAGCTCCAGTCCGACTCAGATGCCAGCAAGGTGGAGGTGGAGTACTGGTTTGGGCTGGTATCATCAAAGATGAGCTTGTGGGGCCTTTTCGGGTTGAGGATGGAGTCAAGCTCAACTCCCAGTCCTACTGCCAGTTCCTGGAAGACACCTTCTTCAAGCAGTGGTACAGGAAGAAGTCTGCATCCTTCAAGAAAAACATGATTTTCATGCAGGACAATGCTCCATCACACGCGTCCAAGTACTCCACAGCGTGGCTGGCAAGAAAGGGTATAAAAGAAAATCTAATGACATGGCCTCCTTGTTCACCTGATCTGAACCCCATTGAGAACCTGTGGTCCATCATCAAATGTGAGATTTACAAGGAGGGAAAACAGTACACCTCTCTGAACAGTGTCTGGGAGGCTGTGGTTGCTGCTGCACGCAATGTTGATGGTGAACAGATCAAAACACTGACAGAATCCATGGATGGCAGGCTTTTGAGTGTCCTTGCAAAGAAAGGTGGCTATATTGGTCACTGATTTGTTTTTGTTTTGTTTTTGAATGTCAGAAATGTATATTTGTGAATGTTGAGATGTTATATTGGTTTCACTGGTAATAATAAATAATTGAAATGGGTATATATTTGTTTTTTGTTAAGTTGCCTAATAATTATGCACAGTAATAGTCACCTGCACACACAGATATCCCCCTAACATAGCTATAACTAAAAACAAACTAAAAACTACTTTCAAAAAATTTTCAGCTTTGATATTAATGAGTTTTTTGGGTTCATTGAGAACATGGTTGTTGTTCAATAATAAAATTAATCCTCAAAAATACAACTTGCCTAATAATTCTGCACTCCCTGTAGGGTCAGGAACACAAACATATATTCCTGATCCTATAGTGTTACACACCACAATCATGTCTGTAGTTGCTGGCTCTGCCCCTTGGTCTGAGCCAATCACAATGCTTCCTCATATGATTGGCTATAACTGTCAAGGAGGCAGATCAGGGGCAGTGCCAACACAAGTCAAACACAGACATGGCCAATAAATGCATGTCTATGAGGAAAGTTTACTGTTTGCATTCAGAGGGTGGAGACACTGAGTGGCAGTGGTGCTTACTCTGCAGCACTGCCGAAGGAAGCCGCCTTAGCAGCCATCTAAGAAGTGGCCTGTGAAGTTATCACTAGGCTGTAATATAAACACTGCATTTTCTCTGAAAAGACAATGTTTACTGCAAAAGGCCTGAAGGGAATGATTCTACTCACCAGAACAAATGCAATAAGCTGTAGTTGTTCTGGTGACTATAGTGTCACTAAAAAAGGTATAGCCATATTCCATTATTTAGAGGACATCCTCATTTTGTTGGACAGCAGAGATTCCATATTAATACACGGGAATATTTCCATGAACTACCTAATGCAACATGGTTGGAAGATAAACTTTGCCAAGAGTCATCTATCCCATTCCCAGTTGATGATATACCTGGGAACTCAGTTTGATAAAGTCAGAGGTATTGTTCATCTATCTCAAGAAAGAAGGGAAAAACTGGTTGCAAAAATAAAAGAAATGTTGGCACTCAATGTAACATCGGCAAAGAAGGTTATCAGCCTGCTGGGATCTATGTCGTCCACCATAGGGCTGACAAGGTGGGCACAATGTAGGATGAGGACCTTCCAAAAGAATTTCCTGCAGCAGTACAGAAACAACAACCTTCTACAGCCTATAAGAATTAGTTCATCAATCCCTGAGATGGTGGTTACAGACAAAATATTTGTTTCAAGGTTTTCCCTTAGGATATATTTAATAATATTGACTACGGATGCCAACCATTGGGGTTGGGTGGCATATCTTCACAACAGTTACATTCAAGGGAAATTATCTTTCTCAGCAAAAAGTTCCACTTCCAACATTCTAGAGCTCTTAGCAGTGATCGAAACTGAAGCATTTCAAGACAGAACTCTAGAACAGTGCAGTCAGAGAATGCGAATGTTGAGGCATACAGCAACCACAAAGGAGGAACTTGAAGTCCAAAAGTCATGTGCTTAATGAGACCCCTCATGACTTGGGCCCAACAGCACCTTTTAGGTCTGACTGCAGTACATCTTACATAGTCACATACACCCTGTTCCAAATTATTATGCAAATTCTTTTTAAGTGTCACAAAGATTAAATATTTTGTTTTTCAGTTTAACTCATGGATGGCATTGTGTCTCAGTGCCCTTTTGACCACTGAAAACAATCTTGGACACCTGTGATAATTAGATTGCCAGGTGAGCCCAATTTAAGGAAAAACTACTAAAGGAGGGTGTTCCACATTATTAAGCAGAGCACCATTTTCATGCAATATGCTGCTGCCGAAAAGAGTGAAATAGTTCAATGCCTTGGACGAGGTATGAAAACATTAGATATTTCACGAAAACTTAAGCGTGATCATCGCACTATTAAGAGATTTGTGGCTGATTCAGAGCACAGATGGGTTCGTGCAGATAAAGGCACATTGAGGAAGATTTCTGCCAGATCCATGCATCGGATCAAGAGAGCAGCTGCTAAAATACCATTACATAGCAGCAAACATATATTTGAAGCTGCTGGTGCCTCTGGAGTCCCACAGACATCAAGGTATAGAGTCCTCCAGAGTCTTGCAACTGTGCATAAACCTTCTATTTAGCCACCACTAACTAATGCTCACAAGCAGAGAGGGCTGCATTGGGCAGAAAAATACATGAAGACTAATTTTCAAACAGTCCTTTTCACGGATGAGTGCCGTGCAACCCTGGATGGTCCAAATGGATGGGGTAGTGGATGGTTGGTGGACGGCCACCCTGTACCAACAAGGCTGCAACATCAGCAAGGTGGTGGTGGAGTCATGTTTTGGGCGGAATCATGGGAAGAGAGCATAGGGTCCCCAAAGGTGTAAAGATGACCTCTGCAAAGTATGTGGAGTTTCTGACTGACCACTTTCTTCCCTGGTACAGAAGGAACTATGCTTTCCATAAAAAAAAATCACCTTCATGCATGACAATGCACCATCTCATGCTGCAAAGTATACCTCTGCATCAGTGGCTGCTATGGGGATAAAAGGAGAGAAAGTCATGGTGTGGCCTCCATCCTCCCCTGACCTCAATCCTATTGAGAACCTTTGGAGCATCCTCAAGCAAAAGATCTATGAGGGTGGGAGGCAGTTTACATCCAAACAGCAGCTCTGGGAGGCTATTCTGACATCTTGCAAACAAATTCAAGCAGAAACTGTCCAAAAACTCACAAGTTCAAGGGATGCAGGACTTGTGAAGCTGCTATCAAATAAGAGGTCCTATGTTAAAATGTAACGTGACCTGTTAAAA